AACGTGCTAAACTATTCACAGAATAAAGGACAGATATATACCTATATTTCATCATAGAAACAGATATTAAAAAGGAAAAAATATATTTTAAATATCCAGAATACTTTCACAACTGAAATAAATATATTAGTTATAGAAGGTATTATATGTATCTCAACACCATGAAGGCTGCATTTGAGAAGCCAACAAGGAACACAATACTAAACTGAGAAAATTGAACGCTAATCATCTAATATTAGGAAGAACACAGAAGTGCCCTCTGTAACTAATTCTATTCTACAAAACTAGAAGTGCTTGTCAAAAAATTAGGCAAGAAAAAAAAAAAAACTATGTCAGAAAAGACAAGTTAAAATGTTTCTTCTTATCTTTATGCTAATGACATTATGTACCTAGAAAACCCTGAATATTGCACCAGAAAACATATGAAACTGCAAAGTAAACTACATAAGGTACAAAACCAACATACAAATGTCTCATGCCCCTAGGAAATATGTGAGACTGTTTTAGAGGAAAGAAAACTTGCACTTACTATACAACAAGAAAATCACAACCCAATGAAACCAGAATCCTGGATGTGTGTGTTCTCAGTCTTGATTAATTCCTCCGTTCATGTTCCCAGGTAGCTTTCCCTCGAATGTGGCACTGAGGCAGGTGCAGGTTCCAGTGGACTACCGTCATGAGGTACATGGTGGAGAGTGGTACCGAGGGTCACATGCAGACATCAGGTTTCCAATAAAAATATTTTCATAACCTAAACTTAATTATTCCTAAATCATTACCCACATCATTCCCTAAACATACCTTATAAAAACTGAGGTTATTTTATATCCAAATTTATGAAACTGAATCTACAACAGAGACTACAGAAGAAACACAGAAAATGAGGCCATGGAGCTGCTACTTGTCCATCACCAAGCTCCCCTTAAAGAATAGGACCCAGGAGGAACCCAGATATAAACCTCCCTGAAGGATGATACAGTAGCGTTGGTAACACTACATTGAGAAAACAGGTCAATCTCCTTCTATCATCATTTCAACATATGAATGACTGAGTTGTTAACATGCATAATGGTAGAAAATCTATTTATATAAAGAACCAGGGTCCATAAGGACCTAAGGCTTGACCAAGTAGGCAGGGACTGGTGAGTGGGCTGAACTCTAAGAGGTTCCTAATGGTTCAGGGTGTAGAGTGGGAGTGAGGGCATGTGGGTGTGTGCATGAGCGTGGACCCAAGCCACACACACTCACAGGCCTGAACTCACACAGGGCCCTTGGTTATGCCACCCACGCCCCCCTGGACCTCATCTTACAAACCAGGATCCTCCTGGTCCTGCCTCCCATCAGTGAGGTCATGAGTCAGTCTGGAGAAACTTTCTCAGACTTGCTTGGTGCTGGGACTGGATGTATCAGAGCTCATGGCAGGCTCCATGGAGGTTCCTTGTGGCCAAAGATGTAGAGCAGGAGTGAGGGCATGTGGATGTCCACCATTGCTTCTTATGCTCAGAAAGTTAAGGCCATTCTTTGACCTAATTCAAATATGCTTCATGACCCAGGTAGTTCTCTGTCCATGACTTACATGGTGAGTGAGGTCAAGGGAAGAGATTCTCATACAGGGGTCCCAGAATGACCAAGGAAGCCTGACTGCAGGTCTTACACTTATAAGGAAGACTCATCCAAATGAAAATTTCTGTTTAATCTTCTGGGTAAATCCTCTGCTATAATTCCTTCTGGGACTTCGCTGGAGGAATCTTTAAACTCATATGTCCAGTAACTCTCTGTCCATGAAAATTCAGAATATTTCTATCATGTGACTCAACACAACTTTAGCTTCCTCCCCTTACCCAGTTCCACAGTCATGTCCAGATTTATGGGTAGTTTTCCAGTGTTCCCCTCTGGTACCAAAACTTGCTCCAGTCCCTCTGGCTGCTGTAGCTAATCCACATGGACATTTGAGGCTCAGCATTTTGGGGGTAGTTCTTTGTACCAAAACAGAACATCAAAGAAAATTCAGATGAATTGATCTTTCATGAAAGTAAAAACATTTTGGGGGAAAAAAGTGTTTCTCTTAAGAATAGGAATGAGACAGGGATGTCTGCCTTCACCACTCTTATTCAACATAGTACTGGAAGTCATATCCACAGTGATCAGATAACAAGAAGAAATAAACAGCATCCAAATTGGAAAGGAGGAAGTAAAACTCTCATTATTCACAGATGACATCATATTGTACATAGAAAACTCTAAAGACTCCACCTAAAAAATTATTAGATTTAATAAACAAATTTGGCAATGTTAGAGGATACAAAATCAACACCCAAAAATCCATGGATTTTTTTAAATGCACTATTAATGAATTATCAGAAAGAGAACCTTAATAAACAATTCATTTTTATCATTGCAAAAAAATTAAGATACTTAGAAATAAAGGTAACTAAAGTGGCGATTTTTCAGAAAACTAAAGACTTTGAAAAAAGAGAAAGTATAAATTATAAATAAGTAGGAGAGTATACTGCATTCATGGATTTGTAGGATCAACATTATTAAAATGCCCATACTACCTAAAGCAATGTACAGATTCAATGAAATCCCTGTTAAAATACCAAAGGCATATTTCACAAAACTAGAAGAAATAATCCAAAAATTTACATGGAATAAAAAAAGATCCCAAATAGCTGCAGCACTTTTGGAAAGGAAAACAAAAATAAATTTGGAGGAATAACAATACCTGATGACAAGGTATACTACAAAGCCACTTTAATCAAAACAGTCTTGAACTGGTGCAAGAACTGGTATTTACATCAGTGGAAGAGAAATGAGAACCCAGAAATTGACCCAAGCCATTAGGCTCAATTAATATTAGACAAAGAATACAAGAGCATATGATGGAGTCAAGACCATCTCTTCAATAAATGGTGTTGGGAAAATTGGACAGATACATGCCAAAAAAATTAAACAAGACCACCAATTTACATCATACATAAGAATCAACTCAAAATGGATAAAAGACTTAGATATTAGTTGTGAAATCATAAAAATCCTAAAAGAAATAATAGGCAACAAAATCTCAGACATCTTTCATCCTATATAAAGAGATAATATGGAAATTGGCCATCACTCTAACACACAAAATGACAGTCCCCATGAGGTGAAAGATGGCCACCCCCATATACAAGATGGCCCAGTAAGGGAGAGCACTTGGGAGGGACCAGGCCTGAAAGGGAGGACAGTTGGGGTGATCAGGCCTGCAGGAAAGGGCAGTTAGGGGGTCACTAGGCTGGCAAAGGACAGTTGTCAGCAACCAGACCTGCAGGGCATGGCAGTTGGTGGGGGTACCAGGCCTGCAGGGAAGGACAATTGGAGGGAACCAGGCCAGCAGGGGAGGGCAGTTAGAGGTGACCAGGATGGCAGATAGGGGTGACCAGGCCAGCAGGGGAAGACAGTTAGGGGCAATTGGGCCAGCAAGGGAGCAGTTAGGCATCTATCAGGCTGGCATAGAAGTGGTTAGGGTGTGATCAGGCTGACATGTAGGTAGAAGAGCAGTTGGGAGCTGGCAGTCCTGGATTGTGAGAGGGATATCACACTGCATGTTTAGGCATGATCCTGTTTAGGCCTGGCCCCAAATGGACAGTTGGACATCTTTCACCGGGTCACAGGTTGGAAAGAGTACAGATTGGGCTGAGAGACACAAACACATCCCCATAAATGAATTTTGTGCACTGTGCATCTAGTAGCAATACATTTACATATACATCTGCTAGGGCATAAGAAACTAAGGGAAAATAAACAAATGGGCCTTCAACAAAATAAAAAGCTTCTGCACAGAAAAAGAAGCCATCAACAAAACAAAAAGAGAGCCAACTATATGGAAGAACACATTTGGGAAGTATACATGTGATTAAGGGTTAATATAAAAAAATACATAAGGAACTCATATAACTTAACCAATGGAAGACAAACAACTCAATTAAAAAATGGTCAGAGGACTTAAATAGGCATTTCTACAAAGAGAACATATGATGACCAAGATACATAAGAAAAATTGTCCAAATTACTAATCATCTGAGAGATGCAAATCAAAATGACAATTAGGTATCATCTCACACCAGTGAGAATGACTATCATCAACAAATCAACAAATGACAAGTGCTTGTAACAATATGAAGAAAAAGAAAGCCTAGTACACTGCTGATGGTAGTGCAGACTGCTTCAGACATTATGAGTTTTCTCCAAATACTAAAGATGGAACTGCCATTTGATCCATTGACCTACTTCTAGAAATATATCCTAAAGGATCTGAAAGACCAATCAGAAATAATGTATGCACCACTATTTCATAGAAGCACAATTGACAACAGTTAAGATCTGGAAGGATCCCAAGTATTCATGAGTAGATGAGTGGACAAAAAAGCTGTGGTACATTTATACTATGGAATACTATGAGACATTAAAAGGTTCTTTTACACTTTGGGACAGCATGAAGGGCCCAGGAGAATATCATGCTAAGCAAAATAAGTCAGTCATAAAAAGATAAGTATCACATGATCTCACTCATATGTGAAACCTAATGAACAAAATAAACAGATGAATAAAATGGATGTAGAGACCTAGAAGCAAGGACAATATTGGGGAATCTCAGAGGGAAGTCAGGGAAGGGTGGGTGGGTGAAAGGAGATCAGCCTAAGAATTCATATGCATATATGCATAATCCATGGACACAGACACTAGGATGGTAAAGGCATGGGACAGGCTAGAAGGGGTCAATGGGGAATAAAATGGACATAGGCAATAATTTCAACAATGAAGATTTTTGTTAAAAAAAGGATTAGAAATTGGACCCTCAGATTTCAGTGGGCATAGTCCCTCTGTCATTCATCTTATCTCAGGTGGGGTTAAGACTTCAGCTAAGAAATACCCTACCTCATGAATGAATATAACCTAAGTTATGCACAAAATAATAAATATAACCTAAGTAGATTAGGTTAAATATGGGTGAGTCTGTGCCCTGAGGGCATCACCCACAGCCACACCCTCCCCTACAGAAGTGCTCCCAGCACAGCCCTCACCATGGACTGCAGCTGGAGAACCCTCCTCCTGGTGGCCATGGCAACAGGTAAGGGGCTCCAGTCCCTGAATTAAGGAGGGGACTAGAGAGAGTCAAGGGGGATTTCCACCAACTCTTGTCTGCTCTCCACAGGTGTCCACTCCCAGGTGCAGCTGGTGCAGCCTGGGGCTGAGGTGAGGAAGCCTGGGGCCTCCATGAAGGTCTCCTGCAAGGCTTCTGGATACACCTTCACTGACTACTGGATGCACTGGGTGCGACAGGCCCCAGGACAGGGGCTTGAGTGGGTGGGGAGGGTTTAAGTTAACAATGTAAACACATGTTATGCACAGAAGTTCTAAGGCAGAGTCTCCATGACTAAAGACACATCCATGAGCAAAGTCTACATGGAGCTCAGCAGTCTGAGAGCCTAGAATTTGCTTTTGTATTACTGTGCTGGAAACACAGTGAGGGCAAGTCAGTATGAGCCCAGACACAAACCTCCCTGCAGAAGAGGCTGTGACCATCAGGGGGCGCTCAAGGGTCTCTGAGCACAAGGACCATCCCAGCAGCAGGTGCAGTTGGAGTTTAGGGCTAGTTTCCTGTGTGATTTCCTCTTCATGTCACAGTTCCCTCAAGGAACCTCTCTGGATTCCTGACTTTGCATTTCTGACATCTTTGAATTAGAAAGTCTGTTGTAAACAGAAACAACTTCCTCCCATGAACAATATGCAGAGAGTGTCTTTTAGACCACTTGTGCCACTAAAATGACTACTAATCACCAAATCTTCTGAACCACATCCCATGAATCTAACAAGATGCTCTGTTGACTCAAATGTGCAGCTCACTTGAATGTTGGACAGCATGCACCACAAGTATGTGACCCCAAAGCTAGAGAAGAAGGACCCCAGTTGGTGATTGTCATTGTCTTATCATCATGTTCATAGCACCAAGGGTAGATGATACCAGCCAGAGGCAGAGGGAGCCACAAGAGCTCGGTGCAAATATGCAGGCTGATGACCAACACACACACAAATGGGACATGAAATGTTTATTGTGCACTTAGTTGAAATCATGAAGATTTGATGGAATCAGGAAATGATATTGGCCCAGGGCTTATAGTTTGGTGAGGTGGTGATGAGGGAAAGGAATTCTTCTTCCAGGGGTTGGTTTCAATTTCACAATGACATCTAAAGAGAAAGCTACGATTTCTGATCCAGTTTCACATGTTGAGGGCAGAGGGAAAAGAGGCAGCAATGAGCCATCAGTTGTTAGAAGTCAAACAGAAAGAAAATAGAGTATGGTTTTGTATTTTACTTTTAAAACTATGCAAAATGAAAAAAATAAAACTAGTCCTATATCTGTTCAATAATCAGGTCTAAATGAGAAGAATATATGTAAGCAAATGATAAGGAAGATGCTGTTGATGATGTTGACAATAATGATGATGGCAGTGGTGGTGATGGTGATGGTGATGCTAGAATTGGAAACAAATCTTGGTCCAATGTCTTGGTGGGAATATGTACTTTCCCACCAATCTGCCATCAGCTTTTTCAAAGGCCTGTGTCAACTTACAGTTGGGCCATTTGGGTCACAATCTCTAATGGTATCTGAAATGTAGATGCCACAATATTTCCACTGTAAGGGTTCAGGAGTCTGGAAAAGGGGCTACATGATAAATGAATAAACTAGGCAAAATATAAATTTGGAAGGCATTTGGGGAACCAGGCAGAAGCTTATGCTTAGTGACTAAGCTCTATGAATCTCTGGACCCAAGGCTTTTTATTCAAACATTTTCCATTTAGCAAAGCAGATATACATATCAAAGGTAATGTTTGGTAAACAATAAAGGACCATAAGATTAGGAAAATTTCCCTTGGTGTTCCAGCAGCAACTAACAATATGCAGATATACAGCCCTGCTGAATATGTCCATTCAACCTTTTGAAGACTTTTTGCATTTACTGTGACCTGCTGGACTTAGCCTCCAGCAAGCAGATATCTACTTTTTTTTTCCGATAGAAAGAAATTCTGTGTGTACAACCATCCTATATAATAAAAGCCTAGCTGGTGTCACGAGACACAGATGGTCATGGTGACATAATCAAAGATGGCCACCACAAGATAGCTGTCACAGATGCCCACCATAAGATGGCCGGTAGAGGAGGGCAGTTGTGGGTGAACAGACCAGCAAGGTAGGGCAGTTGTAGGTGATCAGGCCAGCAGGGGATGGCAGTTGGGGGTGACCAGGTTGGCAGGGAAGGGAAGTTGGAGGCTACTTGGATGGCAGGGGAGGGAAGTTGAGGCCATCAATCCAGCAGGGGAGGGCAGTTAGGGGCAATCAGGCTGGCAAGGAAGGGCAGTTGGGGGCAATCAGGTTGGCAGGGGAGCAGTTAGGGAGTGATCAGGCTGGCAGGCAGAAGTGGTTAGAGGCAATCAGACAGGTAGGCAGACAGGCAAGCAGTTAGGAGCCAGAAGTCCTGTATTGTGAGAGGGATATTCCAGATTGGAGAGGGTACAGGCAGGACTTATGGACACACCCCCATGTATGAATTTTATGCACCAGGCCTCTAGCATCTATAGAAAATGAAAATAATGATTATAAGAAAGCAAATTGTGATGATAATGCTTATGATTAAAATGAGGATAATAGACTGCGACAGGATCCCTGGTCTAATGGAATGATGGCTCCTCATACAGACACACTGTTACCATTGCTTCTCCATGAGGGATTCCACTCTCCTCTGTAAGTATTGACAGACTTTATAATATCAGGCCTAATTAATTATGCAGCTTCATTGATTCATGCTGAGATCATATGAGTAATGACCCCAAAGGAGCCCAAGTCCTAATTCTGTGGGAAGGTGTTACCGTCTAGAACAGAGACATGTGCATGTAGGAAACAGGGATCCTCTTCCCACCACTTTGCAGTTACATGTTCTTTATTTCTCTTCATATCTACCTGTATGATCTTTAATGTTTCTACTTCTCACAAATCCATCTTCCTAATTATTTAGGTATTTCCTACGATGATACAAGCTGTCTTTATAATAACTTCTGGGTCTTCACTGAGGGAGGCTTTGAACCCAAATATCCAGTAACTCTCTGCCCATGAACATCATGCATATTTCTGTCATGTGACTCAAAACAAGGCCAGGTTTAGCCCAAACCGGTTTGGCTCAGTGGATAGAGTGTTGGCCTGTGGACTGAAAGGTCCCAGGTTTGATTCTGGTCAAGGGCATGTACCTTGGTTGCGGTCACATCCCCAATAGGGGGTGTGCAAGAGACAGCTGTTCGATGATTCTCTCTCATTGATGTTTCTGACTCTATCCCACTCTCTTCCCCTCTGTAAAAAATCAATAAAATATTCTCAGATAAAAGTAATATGATAAATTAAGACATAAAATATTTAAAATGTCTGTCTTTTACTTTTTAATTCTTGCACAAGGGTAGAAATTATTGGTATAAGACTTAAACATTTAGAAATTTTGGATACACTAAGGATTTGAGATTGAGAAATGGTCTGAACAAATGTTAATCCCTTTTGCATCTGGTTGAAAGATGCATGAGAAGTAACCTGCTCATCTAGTTCATGTTTCCTCTTATGCTCAGAGTCATAAGGCAGTGCTTTGAGCTGAATCTAAGGAGTAGTCCTCTGTTCCTGACTTACATGCTAAGTGAGATCAAGGGAAGAAATGCCTCCACCCAGGCCCCAGAAAGACCAAGGAATCTTGAACCTGAGGCTCTATACTTTAGGAAAAGCTGCTCCAGGGTAAATGCTCTCCTGGGCTGTGCAGGCTCACAGCTCTCTTCTCACACAAGGTTGAGATATCTGGGAAAGCAGAGCTGTGGTCTGGAAGAAGATGAGGCTTCTGGATCTTCTCTTGTTACTGGCAACAGCTTCCCAAGATGACGGTCTCAGGGGCCAGATAAGGTCATATGTGACTGACAGGACTGATGCTCCTTGTCCCCAGGTGTCCAGTCTCAGGTACAGCTTCAGGAGTTGGGCCCAGGGCTGATGAAGCCCTCCCAGATTCTCTTAGTCTATGGATTCTGCACAGTCTATGGATTCTCTATCACAACCAGTGGTTATGACTGGAACTGGATCTGTCAACTCCTAGGAAAGGTGCTGGAATGGATGGAGTGCTTAAATTTTTATAGAGACATTTACTAAAGTCCCTCCCCTGATAGCTGAACATCCATCTCCAGAGACATGTCCAAAAACCAGTTCTCTATGCAGCTGATATCCATAATAGTGAAGGATACGGCCATGTATTACTGTGTGAGACACACAGTGAGGGGAACTTAGTGTGATCCAAGACACAACCTCCCTGAGGGATACAGCAGGGAAGGAGTGCAGGAGGTGCTAGGGACAGCAGAGAGCCCTCAGGACCCACAGCACAGAGAACAGCCCAGGAGCAGTGGCAGAGGAAGGTGGGGAGGGAATGGCCTCCTATTGGGCACAGGGATTTCCTCTCAAGGTCTCAGCTCCTCCCAGGGAGGATTCCTCCTTCTCATATTTTCACTAAAGACAACAATGAAGAAGAGAATTGTCTGTTTGCAGGTGACTTGTTAGCAGCTACTGGGTCTCTCCTTCAGGAAGACACATTCACAAATTCTAAAATTGACTTTTTCCACTTACTTGTCAATGTTTTGCTGATAAGTGTAAACTCCCCAGGTATATTGCTGGGATTGAGCTGTGTGCTCAGCTCTGCATCCATCCCTCAGGGGTCACAACTTTTTCAGTGTCTGACTCTCCCTGTGTTTCTCCCTCCTGTTTCCAGGGAGATCACAGTGCCCTCTTGTTGCTGAAAGGCCTGACCACACTCAGGGCTATTGGACCCCAACCATCCTCTCTGGGTCCACATTGATCCCTGTAAGAGCTGAGTACCAGATCCAGCCAGTATCACAGGTCCTGAAGGTAAGGCTAGGAGGTTTAAGAGAAATAAAGACAAGAGAAAGCGGGGCTTCAGGAGGACTGCTAGTCTATGGTGAGACTGCAGCAGCTTTATTAGTTGCAGGCGTACATTTATGCGGCCTTTCTCGGCGTTTCTCCAAGTGCCCCTTTCCCAGGACAAGGCCGCCCGTCAGCTCCTTAAGGCGTTCTTGGAAAAAGATGCATAGAGCAGGCATCTGGCTAGATATCATTGAAAACAGCTTAGCTGAGAACATCCAGATAAGTCATGCATCACACGGGCTCCCTAACAATGGGGCTATGGTCTGCCCTGTCCCTAGTTGACCCTGAAGGCTTAGGGGAGAGCAGGTAGGCGTCCCTACCCTGTGCTCAATCCCCTGTAGGAGAGCAGGTAGGCGTCCCTACCCTATGCTCCATCCTTGCCCTC